ATATCTTGCATTTATTAGGTAATTTTTATGGTAATACATTTAATTTAAAAGTTAATTTATTTAAGATCTATGGTAATCTTGTATTTCCAAAAAAAAAAAAAAAATCTATGGTAATTTTTTTTATGTCAGTTTGAATGGTTATTTTCTTCAAGAAATTTTTTTCCCAAAATAAAGATATTTTTATGTCTGTCTTTTATGAAGGTTTTGAAATAAATAAAAATTAATTTTTTTTCAAATTAAAATTTCTTCCTTTTAAAAAAAATCAAAATACTTTTTTTTTAATATTAACTCAAACACAACATAATTTAGACATTTTTAAACAAAAGTATTAAATAAAGTAATGTATAATCTATATAAAAAAGAGTAATGTGTAATTTTTCTTTTAAAGCCCATCCAAACCACCCTTGGCACTAACTTAACTCTTTAACGGTTAAACCACACACTTGTGGCTTGAAGAATAATTAATCAGCTATTGTGAACGAGAATAAGCATTAATATAATGTTTTAATCTATCTTGATTTTGTTACAATGTGCAAGTAAAGAAGAAATACCTTACAACGTGTGAGACGCTTAAATCTTGACATCAAGTATAAACTAGTTTACATGTAATTTGATTTGGAATGTTTCTAAAGTTTTGTGCTCCGTTATAGACCCTTCGCTTATCGTCTTTCCATTCCATTAAGCACGACTCTGGCAATAACACGTAGCTCTTAAATCCTAAACATGATCGATAATATTTTCTTTGTCCAAGAGCTATTTCAAAAAAAATTTTGTAAGAGGACTTCGCCTAGATGCTTGTTAAAGGTTGATCTTCACAAGGCTTATGATTCTATATACTGGAAGTTTCTTGAGTGGATGCTTAAAGTCGTGGATTTTCCCTCTCAGTTTTGCTCCTGGATCATGGAATGTGTCACTTCCACATCCTTTAGTGTGGTTGTGTTTGGCTCAATCCATAGCCACTTCAAAGGGCAGCGCGGTTTGAGACAAAGGGATCCTCTTTCTCCTTTTCTTTTTGTTCTCTGCTTGGAATATTTATCTCGAGATCTGAAGAGTAAATCTGACTTGAGACAAGGGTATTGTCAACTTTTGGAAGGGAGTTTTTTCTCTGCCAAGTTTAGCCCTTGACCGCATCAATGCCCATTGCAGAAATTTCTTATGGGGTAAATCTGACTTGGGCAAAAAGAAGCCTTTAATTTCAAAGAAGGAGGTCTAGGCCTTTTTTTGTCTTAAATCTTGGAATCAAGCTTTTCTTTCTCTCTTTCTTTGGGACCTCCATTCAAAGAAGGATTCCTTGTGGGTTCGTTGGTTGCACCACTATTATTTCAAAGGTGGCTCTGTTTGGGACTTCCACAGCAGTGGTACAGACTCGGTTCTCCTAAAAAATATTGCATCCATTTGTGATTTGATCATTAACAGAGAGGGCAATGTGGAAGATGCAAAACAAATGTTTCTTTCTTGGGTCCACAACAACCACCTCCTTGCTGGCAATGCCTATTATTACATCCGCACCATAAAGCCTTATGTACACTTGTTTCCTGTTGTGTGGAATGCAACTCTTGCCGCTAAAGTCTCATTCATCTTATGGCTTGCTACAATGATAAGGCTGAGTTTCTAAACAAAGGCTCCTTTTGTTATATTTGCAACATAGAGGTAGAGAGCATTGACCATCTTTTTTTCTCTTGCAGCATTACTCTTCACATATAAGGTAACATCTGTGACTGGCTTCCATTCAAAAGGAACACAATTTCGCTGCAAGGTACCATTAATAGCCTCATTCATGGACGAGAAATCTCTAGTCTTTTGGAAAAAAAACGTGTTGCTTGGCATTAGCCACCACTGTCTACTGCATATGGATGGCTAGGAATTTGCTACTTTTTGAGAATTCCCCTCTTTCTGTAAATGATGTAATTGACAAGATTAATTTTTTTTTTTTTTTTTTTGGAGTTACCAACCCTAATTACCTCTTTGAGGCGAGTTGGCTCCCTCCTGTATCTCCACGAGCTTCGACTCTTTGAGCCGGCTATGGGACTAATCTGGAGTGCGGGGAACAATGATGGCTAAAGGTTCAGCCCCTCCCCAAGAATGCATTCAGCGGGAATCGAACACATATTCAACCCCACTAACTCAGCGCCAAGTTACCAACTGAACTGCACCTATTGATGCATCTATTTTAGGCACATGCTCTTGGGTTAATATAAATTTACATTTTTTCTGAAAAAAGAAGAAGAACAGATTAACTTAACATGCAAACCAAATATTAAAAACACGTTATTTACTTTAGAAAAAAAATGTTATTTGACTTATTTTTTTTTAACACACTTTAGAAAATTTCATATGAATATCATTAAATAGAAAGTAACATGGTTATTTAATGAAGCTTACATAAATATCACCTAATAATAATGAGTATATTAAAAAAGTGTGTCAAAGAATGTTACTAACATTTTTTATACGCAAATTTTCTCATTTCAAGATTAAGGTAAACTTTTATAAAAAAAAAGTTAGGGTAAATTAGCGACCTAAGCAAGGATTTAAATCTTCTAATAACCCAAAAACAAGGATTAAAAATGATTCAAGCAATTATAATAAACGAAAGTTCGAATAAATAAGTTAAGCCTTGTTTGATTGGCTTGAGATTCATGCTTGTTCTTCAGCTAATAGTATAATTAATAGGTTAAAAAAAGGGATTTGCAATTAAAACACTTATCCTTATAGCTAATAATATAATTAATAGGTTAAAAAAAAAGGATTCGCAATTAAAACACTTATCCTTATTGGGATGCAAATTAATCCCGACTCAAGGAATCGACCTGGTCGGGGTACTAGGTCATTTGTCGAATCGGTTGACCCAGATATATATAAATATATAAATATGAACATATAAATTTAATTATATTCTCTATATTTAAAATGAGTTAAACAAGGTTCACTAAATAAGTTCAAAAATTACCCAATCACACTTTTACAAGTTCATGAAGTACAAATAAATAAAAAAGCACACTATTACTAGGTCAATTTGAATTGCAACTCAGAATCCAGATAAACATATCTCTCAATGACATTGAACTCATATTTTCAAATTCATCTATATTGAAATGACATATGTCACATTCTTTTAATTTATTGTTTCGCAAATTTTTTCAGTACTGGAAGCTGAGATTTGAGATCATTGTAGAAGAGTATACTAGGAAATTAAATTACAAAAAAAGAAGTTAAAAAGAGTTCTACTTTTTTTCTAACAAGATGAAACAATTTTGATTTTTTATTTATTTATAAAAATGCATAACCCGACCGGGTCACTGTTTTGTCCGGGTTTGGCCGGGTTTTGATCAGGTTCGATGCATGAGCGATACAATAATTGACCCGAACCGGTCTAATGATCGGTTCGCTGTTGCATGCATTTCTCCCATTTCCCCCTTTCTATTCTTTTTCTGTAAATTATATGTAAAAAATAAATTAAAAAATCTAGCATTTTTCATAATTAAACAGTAAAATAAAAGAGGAAAGTAAAATTAAATAGAGAGCGGTGTTTCTTATGCTCTAGAAAATAGTTTTATCTTTTATACACATAAAAGTATATGGAGCTGAGTGGCGGAGCTAGAAAAATTGTTAAACCAATGTCAAAAAATTTAGCTGATAATAAATACTAAATTTATCCCTTTCAGTTGTTACCAGTGTTGTGAAAACGTAGTGTCAAAACGTAAAAAACGAATCGTGTCTACGTTTTTATGACCAAAATTGAGTCAAAACAGTAGTTGAAATAGATTTTGAGCCGAAACGGTTCAAACGTAGAAACGGTTCAAACGTAGTGTCGAAACGTAATATGAATTATTTTTTTTGCATAGTTCAAATATATATAACACGTAATAATAAATAAATATATATATATATATATATTTAGTCATTAATTAGCTTAAATTTAATAATTTATATAATTAATACATTAAAATTATTCTATATAAATTAAAACAAAGATTAAAATTGACATTCTTATAAAATAAACATATTTGTGGATTTTGGTTTTATATATGTTGGATATATATTCTATTTTTAATACGTTAGTAAACTTTTACGTTTCGTTTACGTTTTGCGATTTTACGTTCTTGCTCACCCCTACCATTTTTATATAGACTCTACGTTTTAACAACATTGGTTGTCACAGTCTAGCTACGATTATTTAATTACGTTTAAAACATAACTAAATTTAAAAAATTAGCCTGTGGCACCCAATGGGTGCAGCTCAGTTGGTAACTTGGCGCTGAGTTAGTGGGGTTGGATATGTGTTTGATTCCCGCTGAATACATTCTTGGGGAGGGGGCTGAACCTTTAGCCATCACTGTTCCCCCGCACTCCGGATTAGTCCCATAGCCGGCTCAAAGAGTCGAAGCTCGTGGGGATACCGTAGGGAACCAACTCGTCTCAAAGAGATAATTAAGGTTGGGTAACTCCAAAAAAATTAGGTTGCGGCTCTTCACTGTCGCTGGTGGTGTTATATTTTTTTTCTATATATTCTTTTCATACGGTCATATGATCTTCATATTTTTATTTGTGCATCAGATAAAAGAAAGGGGAAAACGCTAGTAATTTTTTTTTTTGGAAATGTTTTTATTTTTGAAAATGAAAACACTTGTAATTTTAGAAATATAATTTTAGATCTAAGTTCTTATTTTCGTGAATTAATAATTATAATTTATTATGATTTATTAATTAATTAATAAATTTAACTTAATAAATTATAAGCATTGATTAAGAGAAATCAACAGATTCGATTCCCGCTGAATACATTCTTGGGGAGGGGGCTGAACCTTTAGCTATCACTGTTCCCCGCACTCCGGATTAGTCCCATAGTCGGCTCAAAGAGTCGAAGCTCGTGGGGATACCGGAGGGAGCCAACTCGTCTCAAAGAGATAATTAGGGTTGGGTAACTCCAAAAAAGAGAGAAATCAACAGATTTAAAATGACAAATTATAATTAGGTTAATTAATTAGATGCATAAAAAGTTGAAAATGGGGAAGAAGCTTCGTAATACGCGTATGGAACAACGTTGAACAAGTTGATGCTGTTGCTGCAAAACTTGAATTTGAAGACCAAATAAAAAATTGGTAGCAGAAATCGACGTCCCAATTTCTCATCGTAACGAACAATCGAAAACACCTCGAATCCTTTCGTTTTCTCCACTCAACCTTCTTGTTCGTTTTCTGAATCGATTTTATTGCACCACAGGTATTCTCATACCCTTCAGATTTTCACTCTTTTGGATTTCTTGGTTATTTGTGCCTAATGTCTTGCACGTTAAACACCATCAATTTTCTCTTATTTTCTATTACTTATTATTATTATTATTTTTGAAATTTCGTTTTTGTTCCATATTTCAATTATGTGCGTTACAAATGAAACTTGTATAAGATTAGGTTATATGGCACATAGATGGCTGTTGTTGTTAATTTTGGTTGAGTCTCATGGTGTAACTTTGCAGCTATGCGGAGCCAAATTGTGTGCAATGGGTGTAGGAGCATCTTGGTTTACCCTAGAGGAGCTACCAATGTTTGCTGTGCATTGTGCAACACGATTACCTCTGTTCCTCCTCCTGGTATGCCCCTTTGCTGTTTCTGTTATATTTCAAGAGTAAAGCTACTTTCTTGCTCCGTGCTTAGTGTGTTGAATTTCATTTGATTGTTCACTTGGATTAAGTAGTTATTTTCTAGTTTTCACAGTAATTTAAACCATCTTAGGCATGGAAATATTGGTTACTAACTGGATATGCATTGTGGAAGTTTAATATGGAAACAGAAATATATGACTTATTGACTTGCATTTAGGTTCTTTCACATTAACCAAGGTATGTTGGTTCTTCTATGATGAGAGAAAAAAAGAGTTACTTTTCCTTAAACTATTCATATTGGAAAAATATTTCCAGGTTTTATTCCAAGGGAAAAATTAACTCAATAATACCTTTGTTTTATACTGAATTGAACTTGAGTTCTATAAAATAATTCAATTCAATTGTTATCATAAGCTCTGGGGGTATCTTACACCATTTTAATTTTAATCTACAATTAAAGTATTATTAGGATACTACACGGGTTGATAATGTTCTAAAATATTGTTTGCTTGTCAGTAAAGTTCTAATGTAGTCCTATAAAAGGGATGTATCTCTATCATTTCTGTGTATTTCTTTTCTTTTATTCTGCTTTCTGATAATGTGTACAGAGAATGGAGGCTGGCTCGTTGATTTCAGCTTAAGCCCTCTATACACACTAACAGAAAGTTGTAGAAAAGAAAAGAAATACACCAATGATAGAGATAACCCCTGAGAAACAATGATCCCCTCCTTCCTCTCCTTAGCCCAACCTGAATATTCACCATTCCCCCATCCTCTCTCTCTCTCTTCTTATTCCTCGTTCTCCTAGAATAAACTTGTGATGTGGGCTCATCAGAGCATAGACTAGAAAGAAACTATGCAGCTGGATTAAATATCACATGTTGTAGGACTTCAACTGGATGCTTACATCTAAGAACTTTTAATTTCCTAATGCCACTGCAGGAATGGAAATGTCACAACTTTATTGTGGAGGCTGTAGGATATTGCTAATGTACACACGTGGAGCTACAAGTGTGAGATGTTCCTGCTGTCACACTGTAAACCTTGTACCAGGTACACTTTATTTCTCTGTCCCCAGTTATGTGCAGCATATTAGTTCAAAATGAATTTGGTTGTACAACATGTTGTTTTGCTATATAACTATTTACATTTCTTATTTGCAACTATGGTAATGTTTTGTTAGTATGTTTGATTATTGAATATGCATAATTCATTGATGGGGATCCCAAATCCTGGAATGGGGTTCAGTAGGGGAGGCGGCAAGGGGATCCTTTTCTCCTTTCCTCTTGTCCTCTTTGTCTTTACCCTTCCTGTGTACGTTCCAAGCCATATATTGATGTGTTTGTGATGCTCAAGAATGCAACCAGCTGTTTGTACATCATATTCAAACAAGTATTTGTAGACTGCTGGCAACGACCAAAACTGCTAATGGCTTAAATTGTTTGGTGAAGGATCATGAATGGTTTTTATATCTCCAACACACTCCTTTGTGCTAAAACCATTTGGGCTTGAAGCATGGATAATACATAGGCTCACTCTCTACCTTGTGCTGAAATTCAGTTTTATATAGAAAAAGGGAGTGACAAGGATTAAACTATTGATCACTTGGTCATAAAGACTCTAATAACATATTAACTTCTAACTTCCCTTAAAGCTTAAGTTGTTTTTGTTAAGGCTCATGAATGGTTTTTATATCTTTAACAACTACAAAAGTAAATACAATAAGCATCCATCAAACCTGATATCTAGGTAACAGCAAATGAACAAAATTAAATGCAAACCTTGTGATTAACTGATTTTCCATAGCTTTCTGTTAAATTCCCAACCATTTTAAGTTTATAACTTTGTTCTGACTATTCCCAAGGCAGAGCATTGTTCTGGTCATAATTCTTTACGTTAAATCACAAAAATCATTAATAAACTACCACAGCCACATACGTTATTAAATAAATAATTCTGGTCAACTGCCCTAGGAAGCACCTAATGCCAGATTTACCCTTGTTAGTGTCAATATTCTGAGTTAAACCCCCTCATTAGTTCTTAGAACCTAACCTGCAATAATAATAATAATAATAATAATATTTTATATTATTATTATTATTATTATTATCGTTTTTATTATTCTGGTGAAAGTTGCATATTTCCCAACTGAACCCTAATCTTTGGTAGTTTCTTCTTTTGGCCACTTGCAATGCTACTATTGACTCTGCAGTACTAGGAAAAGATTCAGATGGCAAGGCAAAATTAGTTTGAGCTGGCTTTGATACATAGCTGATGCTATCAACTATAAGTAAATTATGTAAATTGAGGTTAACTGTACTATCATCCACCTTTACGTTCTTCTTATATTTTTATTTCAACCAATACCAATCAATGACCCAAATCAGCTATTAGCATGTAAATACTTTGTAATTGGTTTACTTTATGTTTTACTGTACTTTGAGTCAGTGTAATCATTTACATCTAACAAACTCTGACAACAAACTAACTATATGAGAACTGATTAGGTGTTACACACTCTATGAAGAACGAATACACAGCAACTAACTAACAGTGTACAGTAATACATAAAGTAAACCAATTACAAAGCATTTATATGCTAATATCAGCTTAATGAAATGACTTGCTTTCTGCATGCAGACCGAAAGTGAAAACTTGTATTACCAAATCTAATATTGCAACCAGGAATTATAGTCATTGTAAGTACTTTTATGCATTGTAGTTGTTGGAAACATGTATTATTATGTCTAGGTTTAGTGCAAGTGTCTAGGTAGTTTAAGCCATTAAATCACTCTTTTGTTTTTTTCAAGCTAGTAATCAAGGAAAACAACCCAAACAAATCAGTAATTCGACGTAGGTCACAACCTGAAAAACCACAAAACAAGAGCAAAATCCAGATTCATTTGGATATGATTATAAGCCTGAAATCCAGATTACTGTTAATTTGATTCTGTATTTTATCCTTGATGACAGTTTGTTTTAGCGAATGCTGCCATTATAATCCACAAAGCTCTATAATCAGGGTATTATATCCATAAAATCCTGCTGCTTAAGCTACAGGATGTTGAATTGGGTGTTTATGAAGTGTCATTTAATTTGATTCAATTTTCTTCGTTTTATCTCTTTAAAATGATAATTTCCTTGTTTACTGTAATACTTGATGCTTATTAATCAATTATTTGCTTAAATTGTTAACTGACTTATTCTTTATGGGCTTAATGTCTGTGTCAAAAAGAATCTAATCAAGTCAGCCATATCCATTGTGTGAACTGCCGGACAACACTCATGTATCCTTATGGAGCTCCATCAGTCAAATGTGCAGTTTGTAACTATATTACTAATGTCAATGTAAGTATACATCAATATCATTGATATTGATTATTACATTCACTTTCTATTTTCACAAATGCTTCAGAAGTTATAAATTAAAATTTGATTGAGTTGTATGATCCGGGGTTCATTATACTGTAAATTTAAGTGGCTTTCTGCAGTCATGTTCACTTTATTGTTGCAATTATATGATTGGTTTCTTAACACTTTTTCTTTTGTACACTACTTTTTTGTCAATCAGAATCCATTTGTGATAAGTTTGTAGCTAGAAATTTTAGATTGATTGCATTTGAAAAATAGGAAATCAAATTGGTTCTTGTTCTATTTTGAAATTGTAGAACTTTTTTAAAGATCAGGAAATTGTGATTTGTAGGTCGCTTTTTGAAGTTTTAAAACTGATATATTCTCTCTATTATCTAAAACTGTCAAGCGAACCAAGATGCTCCGGTTATACTCGATCTCAGATTCAAAAACATCATAATTTAATGAAAAACCCCTCCCTTATATTCCTGCTTTGTGGAAGAAAGGAACACGTCTGAATGGGCAACATAGAAAAATTAGAAATCATCTCCACTTAGAAGTTTGTTTGGGAAGAGGGGGAGTAGTTACTCACTTTTTGTATGCTGCATAAAGGCATAGGATATTGTATATCTTGGATTTGGATCATTTCACATGAAGGGTGCATATTAGAGAGTAAATGTAAATGATAATCACTCATGAGAAAAATCGAAGGAGTGGGTTCTAACAAGTTTGTTTTCATGTGCTTGTATTTTTTCAATAAACTGTTGATCTTTTTAATCTATCAATGCTGCATTTTATTTTATAAATTTCACTGTACAATTTAGTGGATCTTGATACTTACGTCTTTAAGTTATAATTCTACTTGGTGTTTTGATATTGTTAGAATATTTAGAGGACATCTTGAATATCATGATTATATCTTACAAGTTTAGAATATCTTAGATTCTTAGATGATAGATATCCTAGGATTGGTTTCCGTATTCCCTTATATTTCATGATTTGGTTTTTTCTTAATTAATTATGATTAGAAGTCTACTATTAGTATAAATGCGGGTTATTACTTTTTTTGTAACACATCCTTCATATCAAATTAATATCAATTTGATATTAGATTTGTCTAAGTCACTTTGTTTCTTTTTGTCCAAGTTACTTTTTATTTTGTCCAAATTTCTTCTCTTTTTGTCTAACTACTTCGACAGGGTACAAATATCTAAATTTCATATTTTTAGATACTTTTTCAGACCTATTGCCGATACTAATACTAAGTAGTAGCCAAAAATTTGTATCCATTTTTCATGATATTATGCATGGATTGCAAATAAATGAATTCTTAGTTGTAGAATATTATTCTCGTCAGACTACCGCGCGCTTTACGCAATCGATCGGATCATATAGATATCCCTTCAACACAACATAGGCCATCGAAAAGATCTCGAAAACCCACCAAAGTACGAAAGCCGGAGATTCCTAGTTGCATTACTTATAGCTTCATTGTTCGTAGACAAAGCTGATTCGGAATTCTTTTTCATTCCAAGGATTGAATACCACTTGTAAATAATCTGAGGAACATGACAGGTATAGGAACTACTAAAGGTACTAAAGAAACCAAAACAACAACTACTAATTCATCAGCTAATATATTTCCGAAAAGTCTCTTTTCTTCCTTCCTTACCTAAATCTATGTAATGTCAACATGATATTAGAGAGGTACCATTCTCCTCAACATATCCCGTCACATCCCAAGTTCCCTAAAATCTGGACCTCTTATTTGCTTACTTATTTTCTTCCTTCAGATTAGTTCTCTCTTGTCATGTTTTCCTTTTGGCACCCTCTACTTCTGCTCCACGCCATTGTTAGTGTTGTTGCTCTCTTAATCGGTGGACTTTTCTTGTTGCCAGTCCGTCCGACCATTGTGTTATCATTCTAGCAGCCTCCTCTCCACCGTCTACTGCCATGCAACAAATTTTCCTGTGAGCTTTCCAGCTGACAACCACACCACCAGATTCTCCTCCAAATTGGTCCATTCCTAGTGGATTCAGGCCAAACCAAGCTCATCTTGCCATCCGATGACTTTGCTGGGACTTACTTTTTACCAATGAGTCATACAATGATGAATTAGTGATGAGTTGACTATGATTCATATCAGCCTCCTATTGTGAATTTAACGAGGCCTTAAAGCATGTTGTATAGCAGGAGGCAGCAAAGGCACAAGACCAGAACTCGGGATCAGTCTCGGCAATGCAGAGAAATCCAACAAGTCAGGAGCAATGTTGTTAAAACATAGTCTGTAAACGAAAAGTAAGAGTTTACTACGTACAAAAAAATATATATATATATCCAACATATATAAAACCAAAACACACCAATACATAAGTCATCACAAATTTAAGTCCAAACACTAAAAGAAATAAAAATTAAGTTCAAACTCAGTCATCATTATACATATTAAAATCAAAACACCAAGGTAATAAAATTATAAAAGATTGAAACACTTTATTTTAAAAAAAGGCTTATGTTTAATTCAGGTTGCTTCCATTACCTTTATAAGCAATATATAAATATAAATATCTTTATAAAATTCTTGGTTGAACAACTTTTTTTTCTTTTTCAATTTTTGGTGGTTCTACAACTTTGCATAACCAAACATTACGGGTATTTTCGTCCATTAAAAATATTTCCTCTCACAAAACATAAAGATAATAGGATAAAAACATTGCTTTGGCGTGAAGTGAAGGAAGAGAGAGAGAATAACAAGAAAAAGAAAAAGGTCAATGGTAATGCTGAGGGAGGAACAGTTTGTTTTAAAGTCACTCTCTTTGCAAACTCCGAGGAATTTTCATATCATCATCTGCGGTATTTTCTATTTCAGTTTCAGTTTCTTTAACGTTTAATCTCTTACTACTTCACACAGAGCTAGAGAGAGATACATGTTTTTCTGTTTGTGTCAGCTAGTGCTTCTCCTTCGTCATTTTCTCTCTCTTTCTCTGCTATTAGTTTCTGGGAAAATGCTGGTTCGGAGGAAAGTGTTGAGTTGGAGAAGAGTGGCCAAATCCCTCCAAGCTTTGATAGCTCATGCCTTGCTTTTCTCCGTCACTCTTTTGCTTGCTCTCAAGGTTGACCATATAGTCCATTGCTTTTTTTTACTTCCACTTGCTTTTCATCTGCCATTTTCACCAATACGGACCGCGATTTTCTCTCACTTCAAAAGCTGATTTTTTTTCATTGAAAAAAAATACTAAGTTGACTCGGTAAACTCGTCATTTCAACCAATTCAACTCATTTTCCGTTTCTACCACTGTTTCAACACATTTTTTTGACCTAGAAACGTAAAAACGTCCGCTTCTACCTAGTTGACACTACGTTTTAATACCAATGGTCAGGAGATGAGTTTGTTACAGAGGAGTTGGATAATAATCAGGATGGGCCGATGGGGCTAAGTAGTTTGTTATTATTTGATACTAGGATAAGATAATGATTTAGTTTCTTATTAATAATTTAGTTATTATTATTAGATAGTTTATTTGCTATTACTAGGTAGTTAGTCATCAGGTAGTTTAGTGATAAATAGGTAGGCTGGGGAGAGGCACGGGTTTTTTCATGAATTGAGTGACAGGTGAGGAGAGTGATTCTACCGGGGAACCCTCTGGGTAGTTTAGTGTTGCTTTCTGTTCTAAATTTCCTTTTGAAGCGAGTCTCCACATTGATAATAAAGTCAGTTATTTCTTTTGGTACTATTGGAATCATATCGATTGTGATTTCCCGTTTCACTGATGAGTTATGCCAAGGATGAATGCCCCACTTCTTTCAAACACAAGGTTGAATTGGGAGAGTGAGGACCTTTTCACTTCCATTTGTTTTTTTTTTTTTTTTTGTCCTGGGAAAAATGCAAAAAAAACCCAGAACACCTCATTTTGAAGTAGCTTCCATGAACTTTCAAATTGAGAAAAAGTTCATGATGGCTTCTTCAAAATGAGATGAAGTTCAGGAAGTGTCTAATATTTTTTCCTTTTTAAAAAAAATAAAATAGAGTAGAGTTAGAAACCTTTACTTTCTTTCCCCTTCCATTTATTCTTACTTCTATCAATCCAAAGATAAGCTAGGGGGCTGTTTACTGAATTTGGTGCTCGAGAATGTTGTAGAGCTCAAACATAAGACACAGAAACTTTTGGAAGCTGTTATTAAATATGAACCTTAAGTGATTTGATTAAATACTTGAAATTGTTGGGTAGCTTCTGCAGTTATTAGTATTATCTCCACCTTGTAGAAACTGGATATATAGAAAAGGAAGATGTGATAAATGGGAAAGAACTAAAAGATTTATTACAGGTTGGGGCATGTTTCATGTAGGTACTTACTTAAATGGTATGATCTGTATTCTTTTAATAGGAAAAGCTTTCATATATACGTAACTTTGAAGACATTTAGGCTTTTGGTATTTTTCTAGTTATCACTGCCCATAATATATAAGCTTGGCCATTCAAGTAGGTTATTCTCATGAACATTATCGGGGACGGGATCCAACCTAAAAGATTGGAGCCTATAAAGGGCTACAACCCACTTTTATGCCCTAGGGGCTTGCATCTGATCCAAAATCAGGCACAACTCCAGATTTCTCTGTGCCTATTACTTGTTACATGACATGAAATCTTGGAAATATGATTAGAATCTTTTGTATTCTTTGTTTAGCTGATTTTTTTCTACCTTTTCACGGCTTCTGTTTCTCCTTCATGCCTTTTATAGATGACCAATGGAAGGCTTCCCATTCCTGGATCAAGACCTAATGGAACAACCAACTCTGGAACAGTATCTTCTGCTTCAACAGTATGCTTTTCACTTTTTCTTTTGATGATTATTCATAATACGTATTGATGGTTTCCTGTTCTGATATCTAATGAATATATATTTGATTCTATGTCCCAGTCTCAGGGCCTAACTGTCGTAGTAGAAAATCCTATGTCTGTTGATTCAAGTGGGAAATTGGTAATTACTATTTCTTTTCTTTTTTGGTTAGCTTTGGATATATATATTTTCTACTGCATTTCACTAATTCTTCCGTGATTTTGTGCTAAGCAAGATTTACTTATAAGAATTTGAAATGTCACAGGTGAGCAATGTTGTTGTGGGCGTTACAACAGATAAGAAGTGATACTCATCACATTATAATATTTTTTGTTAAAAGGAACATTACTTGACCCATTATCAGTTGCTGGTGCTTGAAAATATTGTTCGTGTATGTGATGTTGCGGCCTGCAATGGTTAAATTGAAGTCAAGAACTGTCTTTCCCATACAAGATTTGACTGGTTTCATGAATGTATATGTATACGAGGAGGACAAGTGAAAAGGGCACAAAACTTGTCATTTATGTGATTGCCATAGTTCACTTTTTGCTGCGTTTTTATCTATGGTCAAATTAATAGGTTCTTTCATGTTATATCTCGAATTACAAGTATTAGAGGTGTATTTTTTTTGGTGACCTGATAAGCATGATCTGTTCGAATGATGTGTTGATATTTGATAATGATTTTCTTATGCAAGCATAGTTGATAAAGTCACTGATTGGATATAGTTCTTTATTTGTCATAATAGGGATAATCAAAAGCTTATATCATCCGAAGAATTAATGTTAACTATTTGTAGGTATTTCAAGTGGTGCTGAAATCAGGTATCAATCTGTTGGTTCTTTTTGTATATACTAATGAAAAATAGTCAATACTGAAATGAACCAGTATTAAATAAACCCAGTAGAGTTCGATGTTAAGGTAGCTGCTGAACAGGTTTGTTCTGCAAGATTGGGAAAGGAAAACTTTGGATATCTTAACATTCATGGCTTTTTATTTTTGTTAGGGTGTAAGTTTTATATGCTAAAGCATCCATTGAGATGTCATAATCTAATTTAGTTATGCTTAATCCGTTACAAGTAATGTGTCTTCTTCACAAAAATGCTTTAAACAATTTTAAACGAGGGCCTTATAAATGTCATTTCAATACCCAACAATTATAGACGATTAGTTATTATTGGCGTGTTGCAATTTCCGTCCTATGATGACTATGTACCTTGCTCTCTATCTAGACTCAAAGGAGCAATGAGCACGTGCATCCTATTCTCCCCCTGCAGCCAAACCAGGAAGCACGTAGATTAGTCTCCAACCAAAATAAAGAACATGAAATTGTCTAACCCCAATTTCAAATTTTTACCTTTATCAGCTAGCCCTTTCGGTGTAAATAGGTAAATTGGTCAAATGTCTTACTAGGAGTTACAACTCAACCTACGTCAGCTCTTGGTTACTACTATATTCAATAAATTATAGTAGGTAAAAAGGTTTATTTAAAAAATATGTCATAGGTCTACATTTTAAAGGACTGGCCTATAGGTTATATATTATTAGTTAAATTAAATTATTATTTCAATAATTTTAAATAATAAAACATCATTTTAATTATTTTTTTAAAATTCTTAATAGATTTTCTCAAGATTGAATAGACTTAGCCAGTTTGACATTTAAAAAAAAAAAGCGCTTAAAAAATAAAATTAAAAGTTCATTGATAATTGTATAAAGTTATTTTTAAGGTTTTGAAAAAAAAGAGATGAAATGATTTATTATTATGGTAAATTATTAGGGTAAATAAAATTTATAAATAAAAGTTAACCTTTTTAAACACATCTAATTTAGTTATGCAAGACTTTGACCTTTCCACAGCTTAGCTTCATCAAATGGAACTGGACATGCAGATTGAAGCTTGGGGTTGTAAAGTAGTTGTTTTATCAAGGATTGTGTCTTAAGGTCCTCGTTAGGATTACCAGTATCGTACTCAGCCTGTTCCAGATAATCTGAAGCCTAAAGTGGGATTCAGTTGTAGATTGCATCAAGAATGTTATTAACTAGAATTTCTAAAAGAAGAAATATCAAGATTGATCCATACATGGATGTACTGTTTATGAATTTAAACCAGGACATTTTGTACTCACTTTGGTTACTGCTCGCAAGACAAAGAGAAAAGTGAAATACAAATTTGTGACACGATCGGGGTGTTTTAGGACTCGATCATACATCAAACTAAGATTTTTGCCCCACTGGAATAATCAAAGAGAAAGAAAGAAGTTAGATATTTAAATAGATATTTCTTATTAGAGTAACACACATAGATGTTGCAAAAAAATGTAGTTGGCTTCAAGATTAGCCTACATCCACATTATTTGTGCATAAAAAATACTAACTTCATTCTACAAGGTTCATTATACCGAACATTAAAACTTTTAGGCTGTAAAACGAAAAACAAAACTGCAATCTACCTACATGCTCAAATATGCAATAAACTGTATTAATTCCTTGAAAGCAATGCAAATGTTTCTTTCAAACAGAAAATTAGCTACCAATGAAAAGAGGAACATGAGATTTACCAAATTTGTAGCTTCATCAAGTAGATAATCAGCAGCTATATGAATTGATATGGAGGAGTGAAGACCTGATATCAATTTATACAAAATCTTTTTCTCCTAGCATAACTCTTGAGATGGATCTACAGAAGACAAACTTTTTCTGATTATAAAGGATGCACACCAAGATAGCTTAGAGGCTTCACATAACGCTCCCAGCATCAATAACCCATAGGTAGCGTACAAAATAGTTCCTCTTTTATGATCAGTTTAAACATATCTTTCACTTAAGAAATGAATGATAGGAACATGATTAACATCCATTCCTCGGATTACAAAAAGAGACATTTGGTGATTAAAAAATGCAACAATTAAAAGGAAGCATTTACTCCAGTACAGAAAGATAGAAAGTAATATTTCACATTCAAAGCTATCAGTCTTTCAAAGTTTCGTTACAGGAAAGCTATCATTAAACCATCTGAAATTCCGAGCCTTTTCAAATTACTAAAGAAGTTTAACTGTTCACCAGATTTAAGTATAACTCATTCGAGCTATAGGAGCAGCAGTCTGACTAAATTCTTTTTATTTTATTTTTTGTGGGGTCTGTGTGTTTTTGAATAAAAAAAGATTAGATGAGTTTGCCCAATTCCATATACACAGACCATAATCCCCATAAGCCTAAAAAGTAACAAACCCCATAAGACACTCTTCCAAGAAAGAAGAAAACAGTCCTCAGCAATACCAAATAAAAATGAATCAGACACTCATGTTCCTCATTGAATATTAAGAAGAAAAGATATACAATTACAAAGAACGAGAAATGTTTAGCCTATTATTTCAGAGCCAGTCACATTTGGTTTGACCCATATCTATATTAGTAAGAACAAAAAAAAAAAAAAACCCATTATCACATTCAGAATTTAAAAATGGGGGACCCATCACTTGATGCAGTCGCAACATCATTGCAATCTGCCACAAGACAGCTAGCAGCCTCAAACAACAATTTAAAACCCTAAAAACAATTAATTCTTTAGCGTTCGTCTTCTTCAGCAAAACTCAGAACTTGACAAACAGATATTTCAATATTCTCATCAGTACAAAAATCCAGAACTTGACAAACAGATCTTTCAAAAATACATCACTTCCATTGTTACTTTCATTATCATTACCACCATGCTGAATCATTCTAATCGCATTAACAACCTCTGAAGGAGAAGTAATCTCCCACCTCTTCCTCACCCTAACAACCTCACTTCCATTGTTACTTTCATTATCATTACCACCATGTTGAATCGTTCTAATCGCATTAACAACCTCTGAAGGAGAAGTAATCTCCCACCTCTTCCTCACCCTAACAACCTCACTTCCATTGTTACTCTCAGGCAGTGACCTCTTATTCGCTTCACTATAATTTTTATAACGGCTCGCAACAACCCTCCCTTCCTTCAACCCCCCTTTTTTATTACTCTCAGACACTGATTTTTCCCCTTCCTTGAACAACAACTTCCTTGGCGGCAGAGGAGGCCCAACACGCGAAACGGTCTTCGCTGGCTGGAAACTCGCGCCTTGACGAGAATTAACATCCTTCGATTTCAGAGTTTCTACGACCTTCTTTGTGGAAACGACCGCGTTTTGTTTCGTTTTCGGTTCCATGAACCTTGAAGCCACGATCCTGCCACCACGACACTTTTCAAGCGCGATTCTCTCAACTCGAGAATTAACATCCTTCGATTTCAGAGTTTCTACGACCTTCTTTGTGGAAACGACCGCGTTTTGTTTCGTTTTCGGTTCCATGAACCTTGAAGCCACGATCCTGCCACCACGACACTTTTCAAGCGCGATTCTCTCAACTCGAGAATTAACATCCTTCGATTTCAGAGTTTCTACGACCTTCTTTGTCGAAACGACCGCGTTTGGTTTCGTTTTCGGTTCCATGAACCTTGAAGCCACGATCCTGCCACCACGGCACTTTTCAAGCGCGATTCTCTCAACTTTCTCGAGACGACGAGCTTCGATCTCTTTCACGTCGCGTTTTCGTCGGGAACCGGAACCGAAACCCTCGTTCTTGTTCTTTGCGAATTTGGAGTGGGAGTTTGGAAGAACGCTTTTCGGGGAGGAATTGAATGCGGCGGGGCTCAGCTTTTCTTTTGTGCAATCGGAAGATGAACACCGAGGAGAACTCTTCAGTTCCACGTGAACCTGTGTGGAAGAGTTGTTGCTGTTGTGAAGAATGCCCATCGTTAATTTGTTATTGAGGTTCCACACCTGACTGAACTTTAATTTGAAGAAACAAAGCTTTCAAGGTTAACAAGAAGGTACAAAAGGTTTTGGGATCTGATTCTTTTGTTTTCTGTGATTGATTTGAGAGTGTTGTGTGAACTGAAGAGTGAACGAGGAAATTGCTTTTATTTTATTTTGAGATTATGTGACCGTTGCGATTAAGTGAGAGAAATTTGAAATTAGAAATTTCGAGGGAAGATGGAAGATGGAAGCGGGAAACGTTCGTTGATAGGATAAAAGAGGGAAGCGAGCGCTCGTTGATAAGCCAGTGTATCAAATCATATCAGTATTAGATTTTAAATAAATAAATCATAAAATATAAAAAATTACAAAATTAATTTTAAAATATCATTTAAGATAATCTAAAATATTATCAGATTTTTTCTTTATATTCTAAGATTTTGTTTAGGATAATCTAAATTTAATCATAAATAATTTGAATTTTTTTATTAAAAGAGATACTCTAAAATATTACCGATATAATTAAAATATTATCAGATATTTTTCTTATTTTCTTAGATTTCATTAAGATACTCTAATAAATTATAAATAACTTAAAAAATATTTTTAAAAGATCATAAAAGGTACTCTAAATTATCATAAGATACTAATAATATTATAAATTATTTTTCATATATATATTTTGAGAGTTCATATGAGATACTCAAAATTAAAATATAAAAAAATATTTCTTAAGAGAACGTTAAGATATTCTAAATTATTTTAACGAGTTAGAGCAGGAAAAACAGGCTGACCCGCTCCCAACCCCCCACAAATAGGGCGGGACGGGACGAGTTGGCCCGCCATTAGTTGGTGAATTGAAAAATTTAACACATCCCATTTTAATGTGAGTTCGCGGGTTGGCCCGTATTTCACCAAAAAATTGTTGAGTTAACCGATTGATTTGTCAAAATATTAATTAAAAAAATTCTTAAAAAAATATTTAGAGATGATTTATTCGAATATGCATGTTTATAATTACATCAAATAGTTTGACTTCTTCTCGTGTATTCTGGAAAGTGGGTCTATTAGTTTTAAATTTCCTATCAGGAATGGGAATGGTTAACATCAAGGATCGATCATCATGAAGGAAAGAATTTAAATGCCATCAAGTTTTATATTGGACAGAAAAATACAGGGACACGTTAAACGGACTCTATATCTAACGGGCGTAAGTACCTCAATGAAATTGCTTGGGATGAGGGCGTAAGTACCACTAACCGGCTCTATATCCTTAATTTTATTTTACAGATACAAAGATGCCAAAGGTAATGACAACCGTGTTACGTACCCAGAGGGCTGGGTTTTATTTGCGAAAATAATAACCGTTGATTGACGGAAATCAACGGTTGAGATATGGTTATAAAAATTATAAACAAAAATAATTGTAAGTATAACATTCCCCATTATGAAAAAAAACCTAGGCAAACAAGAGTTAGTGATCAGCTGAAAGGTTTTACTTGCTGCTTAAGTGTGCTTGAGTTTCCAAACGAAGTCTTTTTTTGGAAAGTTCAAATGAAGTCTTTTTAAGTCAAGTCACTCATTTTCACTATATAAAATATGGGATTAATATATTTAGTGGTAGAGCCAGAACTTTTTATAGCGGGGGGCGAATTTTTTTTTATATTATTAAGAAAAGTACATACAATCATATACGAACGTAATATAAAAAGTTTGGAAGAGTTTTATTACAAAATTCAAGGTCAATTCATTTAACTTTTGCTCTACGTTTTTTTATATTATTAAACTCTTCTATAATTAAATCTGTGCTAAAATTCAAAACGATTTCTTTTACAATATATGTAATCAAAGAATCATAAAAAAATTGGTCTTCTATTCAATTTTGAAATCTGATATTGATTATCTTCCATTTGACAATGGATGCGGGGCTCTTTTCCTTCCCCAATATTTAGCTCAAAAAATTGGAACTCCTGTTTATGTTTTGCTGTTGTCTTCTTTGACAATGATTTTCGCCACCCCTCTTAATAATCAAGTGTGCCTGATTTTAAAATTTTTTCTTGAGCTCTAAAAGTTTGCTACTTCCTCTTGAAAAAGCTACAATTTCAATCTCTAAAGCTGTGTTTGATTAAGTTTTTATGAAATTTTCAGCCTAATTACTTAATATTTTTAGTCCAAAATTAATTTTTTTTAGCCCAAAATTACATATATATACTAAAAAAAAAATCTAAAAATCAGGGAGGGGCGGTGGCCAACCCTAGCCCTTCCCCTGGGTCCGCCTCTGAGTATATTAATATTTTATGAGATAATTTTATCTCCTATATACGTATAAAAGCATGTAGAGCCTATGTGAAGTTATATGAAGAGAATATATATATATATATATATATATATATATATATATATATATATATAGTCTCTATATATTCTTACGTGTGTAAGAGATAAAATTTATTTAAGAAACAATATTCACATAATTCATTTTGAAGGGCAAGAGTAGGTTCTAAGTTGTAACTTCTAAAATATGTCTGTGACCTAGGTAGCACCGATACGACATGCGACACATGACACGACACGACACGACACTCCGACATGTCAATTCTAAAAAATTATGGATTTCGACATGTTGGGACACGTTTTAATATTAAATAATATTTTTAACTTATATAGTGTATATTTCATTTAATATTTAATAATTTAACAAAAAAATGAAACTAAATTAATAATACCCATCAACACGTTATAAAGATGGAAGCTTTAATAAAAAAAATAAAAATTGGGATGAGAGAGAGATATAATATCAGATAAAGAGATCAAATCATATTAGCGAGAGATCAGAGAGAATGAGATACAAC